TTTTGTACTGTGTGCATGGGGATGATTCAATTATCTCCCAGGGTTAGTGTGCAGTGGTGGACCAATGGGGGGGGAGGGGGACAAGCAATGCAGGCAATAAGACAAACATTGTCTGTAGAGAATTTAGATACAATAATATAAGTAACTAAAAGTTGTCTTTTTTTTAATCATCATCTATCAGCAATACTAAATAATGCCAGTGATAAAGTAAATATTCCTCCTTGCTGGGGCAGGCTCCAGCTCAATATGCCTCCTCACTTGGCTGGCCACTGTTACTGTGATGATTTCAGTGATTTATACAAAATCTTTAGCATGGTCTTGGAACTCCAGAGATGCTCATAAACTTAGAGTTCTTGTTCACATTGCAAAGTTATAGTCGAGAATTACAGTAACTCTGGATTCTTATTGAATATTTCCTCTGAAGGTCCCATAATAGATCATAAACATTAGAACATGCCTTCACTGACACGGTCCCAAATATAAGAATATGGCATGGGGAATGGATAGGTGACGTTCTGAATAGCTAGAGAAGGTAGCCAGTTGGTTCCATAATGAGAAGTTATTTTCCTAAAATGTCCTCATCAGGTGATTTTTGAATCAAAGAACTGAAGAGTCCAATTAAAATGCATATATATTATATGGAAACCACAGATGTCTCATCCCAACTGTGTATTCTATAGCAGTAACCTCCGCTTCCTCTAAGATAGGGGCTCTCAAATGTAAGGGGAGCTTCAGAAATGCCAGTGTCTCAGGCCTCCAGCAACTGTGTTGGGTTGGTTATCTCTGGACACGAGGGTGGCTGCAGAGCTGAGTTCAAAGGGAGACAAGCAGAGGAAAAGAAGTTATAAAGAGTGACAATGTGGACCTCGTTGGAGAGGTAGCTGTGGGAAGGCAGGAGGTGGGAATATTAGCTGGTCATTGGGTGAGGGGAAGGCTTGAGAGCTGTGGTAGGTTTTGAGAAGAATTTCTCCTGGAATAGGAAGAGTCCAGTATAGGAAGAGTCAACATAAAATTTGTAGGCTGTATTTATTAGATAGACATTTACTATGCACTATATACTATCCTTGGTATACTGGGCACTAGGATGAGACAAACTCATAGATGGATCCACTTTTAATGCACTATGAGAACTGAAATTGAGGGATTACACATAGAACCTGTAATGAGAGGACAACTGTCCCTAGGACTGGTATCTGGAAGAAATTAGCAGTTACACTCTAAGTAGGATACAAGAAACTGCCTGTTGTACAAAATTTTACTAAGCTTCTTTAGTTGAAGAGATTTCAGGACAATAATTTAGCTTCTATATACCCCAGGACCTCCTACCATTTAGAAAATAGATTTTGTGTATCAAATGGCCATGTGCAATGCCACAGACCAACCGTGAAAGGGATTATCAAGGGAAAGGAAAAAGAAGAGACTGTAGAATCCAGCTTGTGAGCTAAACAGTAGAAACTGTTAGGTCTCAGGTCTCTCTTGTTTACTGCTCTAGCTTCTCAATGCCCTGCAACAAATACCTGTTAGCCACTGAATAAAGGAACCAATGAAATGCTGGTAGGAGATAATTACCAGCACTGGGATCTTTTTTTAGTGGCACTCAAAGTCTGCTTCATCACCATAATCCATTCAGCTATTAATTATCTTAGCCATCCTGATCCCCTGACCTAATTCCAAACCCTGTGTTTTGAAAAGGAAGCAGAATCAGTTTGAATAATGGGGCATTTTCACAGTAGGTAGGCTTGGATGAAGTGACAAAGGTGACACTAGGTATTTCTTAGTACCACGAGTTTTGCTAGCCAGACCTGGTTCTATAATTTGATCTTGGAGTCTTCATCTTCTTAATATGATTACAGTAAAGTAGAATAAATTGTGTGAACCGGGCAGGAAGAGCAGTGGTTAGTTGTTTTAATATATTATAAACACTAAAAAAAATGCTACCTCCCTCTCCCCATTTATTTATTTTTCAAAATTTTTTATTTTTTATTGAATTTATTGGAGTGACATTGGCTAATAAAATTATATAGGTTTCAGGTGTACCATTCTATAATACATCATCTGTATATTGTATTGTGTTTTCACCACCCAACTCAAACCTCCTTCCATCACCATTTATCCCCCTTATACTCTCTTCTGCT